TCATTAATTGATCACTTTTATTTATTGCCAAAAGGAAACTTCAAACTTTGACTTACCTTAGAAGCAACAATCCAAAGATCTCATTTGGGTACAAATATATGACTTTACAGCATAATCAATTCCTTATTAATTTAGCCACTCTTTCTTGCATGAAGAGTCAAGTCAGAGTAATCAGGCGGTATTCCCTAATACACTTGCTTGTGATAGAAAAGGCTTAACATTATTCAAATATGGCTTTTGTCTTTGTCCACCCCTGAAAAAAAAGTTGTTTAATTAGTATAGCAGTAAACACTATTAAAAATATGCTATAAACTATTTTATGTCACAGGTTATTAATAATTACACTATTTTTATAGTGATTCATTTTGTACCAGTTTTGCCAAATTATAACAGTATGAAAGTTATACAAAGGGGAATTAACTATGGATTTCATAAAAACACATGAATGATATTTTTATCTCTTAAAAGATTAAATAATATAAAAAAAGAAGGCACTAATTCATCTATTCCTATGAGCATTTTATCTAAGGAAAATCAATTTTATGGAGTATAAGCATTTGTAAGTAGGAGCTTCGTATGTAGTTTCATCTATTTGAAAGGTAAATCTTTCATTCAGTGAATTATTATTGCATATTATAGAAAAGTGCTTCACCCAGATTCTGATGATAAATGCCTATCACCAACCACCTTCCATATTGCTTACACATAAGTCTGCTAATAAGTCAGGTCAAATATAAATAATTGAATAGAAATATAAATATAATTTATATTTAGGTCAAATATAAATAATTGAAAAGAATGTTCTACCACATCCTAAATTTTCTAAGAAATGCCTACATAGAAAATGATTTTCTATGAGGAGGAAAAATCTGCAGATTTTATTTTGCTCAGTTTCTCATTTTACTAATATTGTTCATTCTATTCCCACTTTCATATCTGTTTGCAATTTTTTCCAGTCTGTATAAAGACCCAGATGTATGTCCATCCACATTTCTAATATGCAAGTGTTTGTATATACTTTTCATATTTACTCATTTTGCAAATAATTATATGTCTATTTTCCTCAAGTTCATAGATGGTTCTACAATTTTTCTTATTTGTTGAACTAATTCAGAAAATGACCTTAAGTGGCCATTGTTATTCATGAGAGTTAAATTTCAGCAAAAACCATGGATAACAAAACCCCAAATAAAGAGGCCTTCATTCACTGCGGATTGGGGAAAGTTAGGTTCCTCTTCCTTCCCCAATCTTTCATAGCAGTTGCCTGTGCAATATCGGTATTTGCTTCTTCTGGCTTGGTCATGGTAGATCTTACTGGGTCAGTCCAGTCACAAGGCTCCACATGGAAGCTGCTCTTCTTTTTCACCTTTGCTCATAGTGGCTTCAGTGCTCCTTAAAACTGTTTTATATCTGTGGTGGAGGAGCCTCTCAATCATGCTGCTGGGCAGCAGTGCTGCCCACAGACTGCTTGTGGTCTGCAGGCAGCATTAGCACCCAACAATGCAGTTGAAAGATTCACAAGCACAGTCCACAGGCTATGCTAGTTTCTAGTGGCAGGGTTAAGAGGTCCCTCTACTGAGATCATGAAAGATGTACAGAGCAGAAAAGCCAGTGTGAGTCACATGGTGCAAATAGGATGGTCTCATCACCAGGCAAATGAGTCATTTCCAAAAAGTGAGGAAGGTGCTTGGTAACCAGGCTAACCCAGAGGGATACATCACAATCAAATTTGTGCAGACAACCTAACCCTAGCCCTTAAAAATATACTTTACTCATGCACAAAAGTCCACCTACCATTTTGCATATCTGTAAAGTAAATAAGGCAAAAACCATAGATATGTGTAAACTTTTATGTGCATATTAAGGTCTGGTCTCTATTAATCCACCCTAACTCAAGACCTGGGAGAACAACCAGATCTTCAGGGCTTTACAGAATACCAACAGGGTGGGAGCCACAGAGATTAGGGGGGATTTCATTCTACAGGACAGGTGCCACAACAGAAATGCACACTTCCTGGGTTATGATAGTTGGAATTGTTTAATCAAAGGAACCTGGAGCATGCCAACTCTGCTGGGATGTACTGGCTTAGCAGAAACCCTGGGAGATAGGTGGTCCCTCAAATAATCTGGCCCTATGTTATGTTGGGCTTTATAGGTAATGACCAGCAACTTGAATTGTATCTGGAAGCATACTAGCAGCCAGTGCATCTTCCAAAGCATAGGTGTCTTGTGGGCATACCAAGGCACATCATTGCCTGTGCCACTGTATTCTGGACCAATTGAAGCTTCTGAGTAGTTTTCAAGGGCATCACCATGTACCATGCATTGCAGTAGTCAAGCTATGAGATGGCTAGAGCATGAGTGACTGTCTGAAGGCCTCCTGATCCAGGAAAATATGCAATTGGCACACTGGATGGAGCTATGCAAAGGCCCCCTTGGCCACAGCTGCCACCTGCTCTTCAAGAAGGAGCTCTGAATCCAAGAGGAGCCCCAGATTGTGCTCCACTATTAAATGGGGAAGTGCTACCCCATCTAAAAGTATAGATAGAAAATCCCCAGGTCCAGGAGCCCCTAATATCCAGGCTACTTGGTCTTGGTAGGATTCAGTCAGTTCCTTCCCATCCAGAGTCCTGCACAACCTCCAAGCACTGGGACAGGACCTCAACAGCTTTACTTGGCTGGTCTGAGGTTGAAAGTATAATTAGGTATTATCAACATATTGATGATACCAAACTCCAAACTGGTAGATAATCTCACCAGCAGCTTCACATAGATGTTAAATAGGAAGGGAGAGAGTGAACCCCGGTGTACCCCACATAAGGGGGGACTAGGGGGCAACCTCTTTCCCCCACCAACTTTGACTGGAATTGGCCATGAATGAAGAAAGAGAACCACTGTAAAATGGTAGTTCCCAACCCCAATAGCTGGTCCAGAAGGATACTGTGGTTGATTGTACTGAAGGCCAGTGAGAGTTCAAGGAGCACAGGGATGGATGTACCCATCCTAGCTCTGCCTCATGTCATTAGCAAGTGCAATCAAAGCTGAATCTCAGCCTGAAACCCAACTGAAACAGATCTAGATAATCTAGATTATGTCTGAAGAATCTTGCTTCTCTCTACCAGTAGGGGCATTGAACTAACATGTGATTCTCCATTGTAGGAGGGGATGGGGAGAGGAAGAGCTGGACAGCACGGCAGCTGTAAGCAAGCAGCTTCAACAAATGCAAAATGTTCTACAAAATAATGAGATTATGAATGTTTTTTTTCTACTTTTGGAACATTCTTCCTTTACCCTTCAACCCTTTCTTTTTCAAAAGTGCAGTGCATATTTAGTAAGATTGCCCAGAGAGAAATGGGGCTTGGATGTACAGGGCTACTGTGTCTAAAACTCGTGATATAGTCATATTCTCCCACTTGGCAACCATCTAATGTCAAGTATCCACTTTCCTGCCTAACAGAAACAGGAACCTAAGAGACAAAAAGCAAGTTTGTGGTTTTACCAATTTTTATCATAAATTTATTCCAAATTTTAGAGCCCCGATCATACAGCAATCATTTTACAAAAAAGGTTTCTACATGTTGTGTAAAGTAATGTAACTAAACTTCAAACATCAGTGAAGTAACCAAGTTTTCTAAAGGTTCTAGTAGAAAAACAGGCATAATTTAAATGAGGCCAATCTACCACTGACCAATGCTTAAGTCTTGTTATGTACAGCTTTTGTCTTAATTTGATTCCAACTCACACATTACGGGGAAATCAGGAAGCCTTCTCAATTGATCACTACATCTTATTTGAACCCTTTATGATTATATATTTTGAACATCAGATGTAACCCACAAGGTTATCTATCAAATGCTGTGTCAACTAGGAAGGGAGTTAAACAAGACTGCATACTGCCTCAGCTTTTGTTTCAGATTTACAAAAAGAGTGTGGTGTGTTACTTAAATAAATGACACTTTCATCGTCCCAAGTTGCTCTATGCAGATGATTTAATAATAATAGACTGTTGGGGTACATCACACAATACTGCAGGGAGGATTATCTGGAAATAAGTTATCAAAAAAATAAAATTATGAGTTGTACCAAGAGCTAGATATGGATAATAGGGAGAGCACTCCTTTATTGCTCAAAATGCTCAGAAGAGCACAACTGCAATTTTATATATATATAAAATTCTCTCAAAAGAAGGTAGTTACATACCAGTGGTCTTCAAATTATTTGAAGCTAAGATGCTGATGCAACTTCTTTATGATATTCAGCTGGTCCTTTTTTTCTGATTCTGCCCTTCTGGCTTTCAAGAATTTACATTTTTAAGAGCAGCATTTTGTTTGTTTGTGTTGTGTGTGTATGTGTGTGTGTGTGTGTATTATTATTACATTTCTGATAGGAAATGATCATATTAATTTTAAAACATCATCATATATAGTTTTAACATTAATATTAATCATAGCCTATTTGGTTGTTGATGGATTTTAGTCCTCTCAGGATTTTTGAATTTTGTGCTATAAAGTGTTCTTTCGGTTATTTTGCTTATAGACAGGTAGAATTCATAATTTTATAGCTGTCCATGTTATTTTCTGTGGGTCTTGGACTGAAATAAAATAAATAAAGGTAAAAGTTTTCTAGATAATGAACTGTTAAAAGCAGTACTTAAGCTAAAAATATGATTACTAAAAAAAAAAAGTCTTTTACTTCTGAATTCATCTTAAACTGGCCCTGAAAGAATTGCTCTTATTTTAAGAGAATTACTGATATAACTTGAATAACTTGTAATTACTGCTATTGTGAATATAATTTTTCCTATTTTTTGCTATTGAAAATAACTTGCTGACTTATTTTCATTTCAGTCTATCTTGAGCATAATTAATCAAGATCCAATCTATAATTATTTAGCATGTTGTTAAATATCCTTTGTTAAGGACTGTATAATTTGAAATGTAATATCATTACTGTTTAAATGTACTAAAATATCTATCAATATCTTTTGCTGTTCATTTTAGGGAAGCAATGTTATGGAGGATCAGGATCTCTTGGAAATTGGAATACTTAATTCTGGACACAGGCAGAGAATTCTCCAGGCAATTCAGCTTCTTCCAAAGGTATCCTAGTTGTTGTTGTTAACAGTATCTGGATTCATTTAAAAATAAAATAACTGATTGTGTATTTTTATCCTTGGGAAATGCCAAGAGTCCTTTAGGATTGTGGTAGGGTATACATGTGATAAATAAATAAATAAAATAGCATTCTTCAGTAGAAATATTGACCACCTGGGCTTCTAACTCGAAGTTTAGGCTCTCTCACTTTAGTAATAAACGACTTCACCCATTTTCTAGCAACATTCTTTATTTATTTAACATGATTCAGACAGTGTGATTCAGGGTGGTGTACAAAAAAAGATGAACTAAACCAACAAATGCAAAATAAACAACACTTGTAATTAAAGCCTACAAAAACAATAAATTGACGTCAGGGCTAAAATGTACTGTAACTTCCTAGACTGGGGACTATATTGATCCTGACTCAAAAAAAGAGCCAGATCTTGACCTCCTGGCTGGGGCTAATCATATGTCAAGGGGAAGATCGTTCCAAAGGACAGGAGCCATCACTAAGAAGGATGCCTCCTGGATCCCAGGAGATCCACTCCTGGGTCCCAGAAGTGAAGAGACCCAAAGTGTGCCTTCCCTACTGGAGCATGTGGGATGGTCAGATAATTGGTGAAACAGAATTGTTGGAATATTTTTGTTAGCTAACTATATAGTACGTAGTTACATATGTGGTACAGTTTGGATCTGAAGCTGAAAAGGTGCTTTGTAGCAGGTGTGGGCATATACATTGCACCTCTTAACATCTTCTTAAAGAAGCAGAATATTTTCCTGTGCTCTCATCATAGGCATGTGATCTCAGGAAAATGTGCTTAAATTAAGGAGGTATTGACAGCACTCACCCACCTACCCACGGCAAATCACTTTCCCATGCATCAGGAATCCCCAAGCCTTCACAGCATGCAACATCATGTTTCAGTTTTCTGCTACAGACTGAGTTTGCTGAACATCACAAAGGCACAATCAGATCTATTTACTTCTCTGGCTATCTGATGAATACACATGCTTTTCCAACTGCTCATTAATATTGTGAATGGAAAGCAGTGAGCTATTCACTTTAATATCCCCCCCCTCCAAAAAACCTACTGTCAGTAAAAGCTTGATTTTTAAAATTTTTTGAATGTTTGCATTCAAGATGAATTTGCCTTCCTTATATAAAAGACTTGCTTGACAAATTACATTTTATGAAATTTTCCATACAAACTTCCACATTTTTCTCATGGAAAAATCTACAGGAGCTTTGGCATTTTAACAATACACGTAACCAGCTTCATAGTCCTCATTGTGTGTCAATATATCACAAAGTTCAAAATGAATCATACTTTGGATTTTGGTATAGCTGTTTCTATAGATTCACTCGGCTATTTTGATTTAAATGTGGTTGCTGTTTGCTTGAGTTTTGGATTTTTAGACAGTCATATTTTTGGGATTGATTTTCACTTTTCTTCATTAAAATTACTTTTCAAAAATTATCTTTTAAGATAATCTTAATAATGCTGCACAGTTCTAGTAACTCCTAGATATCCTTACTACTAGGCACATGCAACTTAAATGTTTTATGATTTTAATGATTTTTTGATATCCAGTGACATATTTTCTCAAATATTATAGCTGTGTGTTTACAGATTTGCCCAGTGAATTTGCCAGTGAATTTAGTAGCCTTTCTATATTTCTTGTACACTTTTTAAGTACTTTCATAATAATTTAAAACCTGTATTGCTTTTAATCTGACTATATCCAATGGTCTTTGGCACTAGATCTGTCAGAGTGGGTGTCTCTGGATCCCATCAGTAAAGCAGTACCATCTGCTGGGCCCCAGGAAGTGTGCATTCTCTGTCATGGCACCCATCTTGTGGAACAACCTCCCCCAAGATGTGGACAGCCCCAACCCTCTTGGCCTTCAGGAAGCCCTGTCTCTCACCGCAGGCACTGAAACCAGGATGTTAGTGGGGCTGTGGTATGGGGTTGATTTTGTTTGATATGCTGATGATGTGACTTTTGGGGGCCTCAACCCAGTTGCTTTTAATTGGGTTTGTATAGATTGGTTATGTTTTTATTTCTGTTTCCCACCCAGAGTTCCCTTGGGAAGATGGGCTAGACACACACACACACACACACACACACACACACAATTTTATTCTAAATTGCTGTGTCAGTCATTACAGATAAGCTAAAAAATTATTTCAATGTCACTTTTCTTTGTATTCTTGAAGTCATACTACATAGCAATTTCAAAAATTGAAAATTACCATATTCAGAATTCAATAAATTTTGTGTACAGTAATTCATGAAACTGTTGATAACCTGAATATGTTCTCATTGCTAATTCAGCTGACTAGAATATAGTATTTGTTAATAAGATTTTGTGGCAAAATTGAACACATGAAAGTGGTGCTGATTTCCACACATGCATATATGTGTCAACAGTGGCATAAACAACAGTTAACTAAGAAATAATAAACTAAGACATTAAACACATGAGATAAGAGAGAGAAAAGGAAATATAGCTTTATCTAGTTCACACCAACATCATTCACTATATCTCTGCATACCTTGTTATCCTTTTTTCTGCCACAGCTATATATGGCTTCATACATTGCTTTTTGTTGTTTAACTTTCTCAACATAAGCATCAGGAATAGGGGAAGCAAGGAAGCATACTTACGTCAGGTGTCAGAATTTAAGGGTGAAGGAGGGTTTTGTCCTGCCATGACTGTGTATGAGTTGTAATTTTCCCATCTAGCTGAAGACTCCTATGCTTCTCAACTCTCTATTTGCAGGATCTCATCAACTCCATTAATCACAACTTCCTTGGTTTTTCCCTTCCACTTGACCCATTCACTGTTCCTTCACCTATTTGATTTATTCCTTCATATATGATTCCTTCATATGGTTCCTTCATATATTTGATCCACGTTCATTCTCTCTGTATGACCACACTACCTTAGTATACATTTGTACTGGTCATTCATTTTTGTATTCACATTCCTAGAGTGCCCATTCATTCCTGCTGATGTCTCTTTTTGTTTTACCACACACACTTCTTAATTACCCAGTTTCTACTGCATTCAACTTACATTTCTCCTGACATACTCAGCTCTCATTTCCATATAACAATATGGGTAAAGGCACATTTCTTGATAGCATCATACCCCTCTGAAGGTTAATTATTAATTAATTATTGTTAATTATCATTAGAGGCCTTTGTAACTACATGGGTAACCTCAAGTACTGAACCCACATCCACCTGCCTTTACATGCAGTCCAGATTATTAAATAAAATGAGTGGCTGCAGTGCAAAGACTACCTTTTGCCACCTTTGGTTGATGTACCAGCTATAGTTGTTCCTGAACAGGGGCGATTAGCCCCAGTAACTTCCTGTCTTTATATGCTGCTCTTATGTATGGCCTGAAAGCTTCAACTGATTCCAAATGGAGCAGCTAACTAGATCTGTGCTGAGTCTAGCCATTGCCATGTAACACCACTGCTGAGAGAACTGCCCTGGCAGCAGATCTGCTATTCAAACAAATTTCATTTAGGCCATATTTTGCTGTCACCCTGTACAACAGTAGATAACTTGGCAGTAGGATACCCAAGGACTGTTGTCTCTCACACAGATCTGTCAAGCATGCAGTCATTAGCAGGTCCTTCTAGTTGTGCTCAACAACTTTAAGCCTGCATTCACATGACCATTCTTTCAAGATGGAAATTTTCTTTTCTCTGTCATTTCCCATTTGCTTCACTCATAGATTTTTTTAGCAAGTCTAGAGGAAAGGTATTTTAGAAATGCAAGAACATTATTATAGTGAATTTTGACGCCTTCTTGTGTTGAAATTTGTTTTGGAAAAAAAAACAAAAACAAATAAAGACCAACATGGATGTATTGTTTTGTAAAGTACTATCAATGAACATGTGCAACTGAGCACACACATATAGAACATTCTTCCATAAATATATTTACCTGAACACACACAATAATTCAATACCTCAACATAAGCAGCCTTCTCTAATACTTCCATGTACATGTACACACATGTACACCCACTGATATTTACTTCTAGTCACATAAAATCTCATCCCTAAATTTATACATAAACACCCTCTTTCACACACACAAACATTAACTCCACACAAGAAGAACTCACTGTTTATGAAAAGCAAACCAAGGAAAATAAATGGAAGTCTAAAAAAGCACCAATACTACAAAGAAACAATTATCGGACAAGATATTCCCCAAACAACACCTGGAAGCGCTCCAATGGACCCAAATGCATTTACTACAGGACAGCAGTAAAACACTGTGCAACCTATGAATCTTTCCTGTTCTACTAACAAGGCATTTTACTGAAAAGGTGAAAAAAAACACAAGTATTTAACACCAGGCTCACAGACACACAGACACACACACACACACACAAAGGATTTTATTTTATAGTAAAATATTTTATTGTAGATAAACTTGAGATTTTAATTAGAAGCAGCATTTAAACGTTTTAAATAAATAATCAAATAAATAAATAAAAGATGCAGATGTATATATGTCGGGTGTAGTCACACCCATAAACAGAAAAAAAATGAAGTTGCATCTTCCTGTAAGAATGCTTAACAATAGGCATCCAAAGGATAGGGTTAGAAGCCAATCTGATTGCCTGACTAAGAAAGCAGAGTAAGATCACTTCCTGAATCCAAATCTTCTTGTTCCATCAGGTTCCCATTGCAGTTAAGTGAAAGGCTGATGGTAAACAAGTGCTCATACAAGTCAGGTGGGCTGAGTATAGAAAACTTTGTCTGACCCACTATAGCAGATAGTCACAAATTGCCCCAGTGAGCCACAATGGATTATCACTTAGGCACTCCATCCAATTTTAAAAATTCCCCAAAGGTGCAATTTGTTGCAATCAACTCAGTCACAACAGATTTACACAGAGGCATTTAAAAATATCATATTCCCTCCAAATATCTTCAAATTCCTTACAATATGTGTATGTACATGAGTGCTCATACTAACATACATGGTGTCTGCTTTGTTTAAAGATTAAGCTTCTAACTAATAGATTTCTACCTGATGGTTTTGTTTGATTTGATTTTGCATGTGTCTCTTCATAAAAAGAAATATTGCTTTGCCAAAATTCTATATTATATGAATTTGACAAAATACACAGGAAAGGGGAGGGGAAGACTTCTGTCAACTGCTTATCATGAACTCTTTGTGTGTTTGTATGCATCGATTCCATACCCATGTTAACTGTATTTCCCCCCCGTATGGCACTGTCACAAAGTCATGAAATTTAGAAGCGTGTTACAAATAGCTCCCCCTTGAAGAATTTTAGAAGTATTAATAGTGATACTATTAATAGAAGTATTAATAGAGATACACTATAATATTTTTGTAATTTAAAGATGCTGATGTAAGGTCCTTTTTATTTTATGTTTTAATTACGACAAATCCAATCAATAATACATTTGAAAATAATTTGGCACTTTTATATTTCAGATGAAACAGACAGGCAGTGATGGCTACAACCCCACCTCTGTAGCAGAATGGCTAGATTCTCTGGAACTGGGAGACTATATCAAGCCCTTTTTGATAAATGGCTATACATCAATGGACCTTGTAAAGAAAATATGGGATATTGAATTAATTAATGTAAGTTGATCCATTTTTTTTCCTTTTAAAAGCATCTCAATTGTAATTCTAATATCTGTAAAATGTTTTACTTTCTATTCATTATAATGTGCTTAATGACTTAGCTGTGTTTTGGAAAACGCTGACGCTCAGCTATTCAGAACTGCTACTTCTACTTAAGCAGATACTGTATATACTAGGCTATTCCTGCTAGCCCAGGTCTCTTGGGTCACATACTTTTAGCCTCACACACACACATTCACACTGCGACATGTTGTAGTCTTGTCATCTAAGACTTTCTTGTTGCCATTTTACAACAGGATAAGAAAACTATAAACACAACTATGAAAATATTATTATTTTCTTTTCATGAATGCTTTTAATAGGTGATTATTATATCAATCATATCTTATATCTTTGTAAAATACTT